CAGTTTAGTCTGACAGTACTGGCACTGCCTCTGTTGTCTGGGTGCATCCTGAACTTTTATCTCCACTTTGTTAGGGTTTATTATCATGTTAAGATTAGTTCATGGCCTAGGAGCATCAAGAATAATATTTTTATTTGATGTTTTATGGCTATGCCCAGTCTCAAGGCAAAAAAGAAGGACACACAGGAAAGTTGGAAAGGGTAGAAAGAAATGAAAATATTCCAACTAGCATGTGGCTGGATAAGGAAGGGCTCATTAATCATCCTTATAAACACAGATGGACAGATTCAGAGAGATGCTTGGTTTGCATTTGATGAGTTGTTAACTGTAATGGTGCACAATATGCTTGCAGATGATAATTTATAACATTCTCATTACTTTATTAAGCCGCAGTTGACTTGTGACGAGAAAAGGAACCTGTGGTATTCATACGCAGATGAAATGGGTGTGGGGCCATCCGGGAACAAAACAAAAAGATTTTCACAAACCTGCAAGTTTCGGTTCAGGAAGAAGAAGTGACATGGCTTGAGAAGACTGCCAAGGCCATGGTTGTGACATTCTGGCTGTTAGCTATGCACAAAAGACATGGTGTCCTTTCAGCGCATGTGAATTTTCTCATAAGTGTAGTTCCTCTGAAAGTGTTTTGCATGCAATACCTGACTTGAATAATTCTTGCTCAAAGTGAAACTGCTGTATTAGTACTTATACCTCAACAGCATTAGATTTCTACACATTTAAAGATTTAATGTAATGCAATAAAGCATTGTTTTCCTTTCAGCATTGAAGGAATATTTTGGGTTCAATTTAAGTTAAGTGCAAACAACATAATGTTGATTACCTCAAAAAATTTAAATTCAACTCGTACCTCATTTTATAAAAAAAAAAAGTAAAAATCAAGGTTACGTGAGGTTACATATCTTACAATAGAGAATGAGAGAATTTAAAAGTAGAAAAATACATAACTTTCTACTATTAAAACTTGTGTTGTGCTGTAAATCTGATTTACCGATTTAAGTGTCATCTTGGCAACAGACTGCATGTAAATTTACGCAAAAGAGTAGTAAGCCATTACTACTTACAAACCATTACTATTACATGCACACTAAAATCAGGTTTTCATCTGTATTGTTTTTGTCTTGTGGGAATACTATTGAATCCGGGAGTATTTTAAAGGGGTCATATGATGCTGCTAAAAAGAACATTATTTTGTGTATTTGGTGTAATGAAATGTGTTTATGTGGTTTAAGGTTCAAAAAACACATTATTTTCCACATACTGTACATTATTGTTTCTCCTCTATGCCCCGCCTTTCTGAAACGCGTAGATTTTTACAAAGCTCATCGGTCTGAAAAAGCGAGGTGTGCTCTGATTGGCCAGCTATCCAGTGCGTTGTGATTGGCCGAATTCCTCAAGCATGTGACGGAAATGTTACGTCCCTTACCATATTGTGATGCCTGCGGCAACCACATGTGACGACCGCTTCCACGGTGAAAGCCGATCCGGTGACCAACAGCGCAAAGTTGAAGTATTTCCTCAGCGACCAGCACGGATCAGCTCCAGGCATGACGAAGCAATATCGTCCTCTTTTGGAAGACCAAACAAAATAGTTTTGCTTTCACAACGAAGCACACAGCGCCTTCACGACATGGCGGCGGCGGCAACAATACTATAGCGAGAATAAAAGTTACGCCTTCTTTCTTTGCGTGAAGATGTGGGAAGAGTTGCATAACGCCGCCCAAATAGTGACGTAGATATGTGGGGGCGTGTTAGAACGAGCCGTTTTAGGCAGGCGTGGCTGACTCTTAACTTTTATAAAGAATATCTCTTTGGATTTGAGACTTTAGTCTTTAATCTTTACAGATCTTCTTTATGCACCAAGAGCTTGTAACACTCCAAAGAGAAAGGAAAAATTGAAATCGCATCATATGACCCCTTTAAAGTTTCTGAGTTGGCCCCATTCACTCCTGTTGAAAATCAACATTATGCCACAAATGCTGTCGATTGAGCTTAACTTGTACTGAACCCAGAATATTCCTTTAACTAGCCTGCATTCAATTAACTCACTTTCCCATTAAAAGTTTTAAGGTACGGTATTCACCAGACTTGTGTTTGTTATAATTCTCTTCTAATACTTTTTGAAAGTTAAGGCTAAATGAAACCGTTCATTAGGTTCACAAATTGCTTTCAATGGCAAACCCATGACGGACCCTCATGATCAGAATGGGTACATGTGGCCTCTGTTTTCTGGGTTAATCTCCCTAGCCCCATAATCTAATCTGCTCCCTGTACAACTCCATAATGTCATCTGGGCCCAGTTCCTAGACTCATTATCCTGATTGGGCTACTCAGGACCTGTATCACTAGTTCTTATACTCATGGGAATATCTCCAGGGGAGTGGAGGGGCATGTTACCACATCAAGCCACTAAGTACTTCAGAGAGTCTTGAATATTGATAGCATGCCTCAGATCACACTGTTGCATGATGTACTGTGCAAGGGAGATTAAATGAGATCACCTCCAAGGCCTCAGAGGTTTTTGTAATCCTCCGCTGCATTGAGATTGTAAGTATGAGCAAGCGGAGCGGTGGGACATAGAAGATGAGAGCGAATGTGGTACACAAATTGCTCATTGTGCTATGTGGGTTGGTGAAGAGAAGCGGAACACAGCAGGTCGAGGGTCTAAGGTTACCAGACAGCTTTGTCTGATCTCCTGCAAGTATGAGGAGGTGGGGTTTCTCTCCAACCCGAAATGCTATGGAGAATAGGAGAGGACAGATTTTGTCACAAATTGATGAGCAAGACTGGCTAAAGCAGCTTTGTTGGGGGAAAGATGCTAATAAGTACATTGTGCCACCAAAGACAGGACGGGATTTTAACAAACTGATGACCCTTACCTAATATTAACGAAATTGTTAAAATTAAAATTTTTGAATCCTAACTCAGCCTGATGTAGTCTATTGTCTACTTTGCCTATTATGAAACACATGGTTATTGACCCACTATGGATAGGGTCATCAGTAAAGGTCATGCTGCCACTGTGTGTGGCTAGTACGCATTAGTTTCAATCACCAGCAGCACCCTTCTTTATCATGCACATAAACAAAGCCCATAATGACATATTTCACGGTTGATTAGCTTTTTTGTTTGGCCCGTGAACTCTTATGTTCCTTACGTGACCCTTCGTATTGTCTTCTAGAGTCCCGGGAGATACAGTAGTGTGCACAATGTATAGATGACATTGTTTTGCTACAGAATTCGTTGTATGTACAAAAGCAGTGTACGCGGTCAAATGTTCTCACTTGAACAATAGATCAGACATTGGTTCAAGTGTGCATTAAAGCAGCGAGTTCCTAGAACACCCTCCTCCCAGGTTTATAGCAAATACATGCAAAATTAAACTGACTCGTCGGCCATTTTTCTTTCCTCTGTGCTGGGCTATTTACAGACGTGACATCCTGTGCAGTCATCCTGCCCGTGGTTCAGGTGGAAGGTTTGGATGGGTGGGACCTGGGCACTTCTGCCCTGTTCTGGGCACAGTGCCAAGGCTGGGACGGGGTGGGGCTCAGTGTGAGGGTGATGGCTTCACAACAGGGATTCTACTCTTCTGACTAAAACTATATTCCGTTCCACACCCCTGGCCTGCTACCTTGTAACCAGAATATGTTAGGGTGCTTTCACACCTGTAGATCGATTGCTTTGTTCCGAAACAGGGATTACAATTATTACAATGTTGCATTTTATTCTTGGTGTGGTTCGCTTTCACACGGCAATGTTTCTAAACAGACCAAATTTGTTAATACAAGTCACGCGCGAGTAAACTGTTCTCTCATTGGTCAAAGTTTCACGGTTTATTTTCCGGGATTCCACTTAGCTGTCACTCTCAGCTGTCATCTGTCAGGATGGAACGACAACAGCTTCGCGGGCTTATTGTTGTTGTTTTTTTTGTAGGTGCCGTTATATTAATTTATCACTTTGAGCAGGAGTCCAGGATTCATCGGGAAAACATTTTTAAAATGCACCTACTAGGAAGAAGAGCAATAAGACGGCATTATAAAATGAAAAAGTGCGCTTTGATTTTGAATGGCGAAGACGTGCTCACCCACAGACATTCACATGGTTCATTTTGAAGTATTAGCAAAACAACAAAGCTAATGCTTTTCACGGAACTTACGTAATTACCCATTATACATTGTGATATAGCCTGGTTCGTTGGTCCGTTAGATCGGATTGCTTTCTCACTACAACCGAACCGCTCCAGAGTTCGTTTTCAATCGAGCCGAGACCACCTCGTTCAGGCGATCTCGGACCGATTGGTTTGGCGCGGATCCGAGCGCTATTGCCTTGTTCACATATGCCCAAACGAACCGAGCTAAGGAGGGAAATGCGTTCCGAAACAACGGGCCAGGTGTGAAAACCATTAGATGCCCAAGAGGGCATTTGCCATTCAGGATATGCACCAGCTAGTTAATTGGGAAGGATGTTATGCAGGGATCATATGAGTTTTATATGTGCCCCTATGTTTATGTTTGAGAGAAGATTAGTATAAACGGAAGTTAAAAGATATTAGCTATGCTAGGTAATTGGGTAACTATTTTAGGTCACGTTGTAAAATGTCAAATGTTGTGACTACTCAAAAATGTAATATTTGATAAAAAAAAATTGCACGTTTTTTTTAAACCATATGAACCCAAAATAAATGCAAAAGTTACATATGTTGAGTAAATGTTTTTGTTTGTTTTGTTTTGTTTTTTGTGGACACACTTCACGCCATTTAACCATTTATCTATGTGCATCAGTTCTGTCCACTTAGCATGTTTCTTTTCTGATTTTTACTGTCAGCCTCCTGTGTGAGTGGTGGAAACCATGCTTTGGTGCATCTCTCTCTCTCACTCAAATATGATAGGCTGAAGTGCTGAAGCCCCCTGGGTGTTTCATCATGCACTCATCCACCCTTTTGCAGGTAGCCCTCACTGAGGGGAATACAGTTCTCTTATTTTTTATTCAGATGAAGAAAAGCATACAGTCTTTAGCTGCTATATAAAAATAAATCAGACTTTACCATACATTAAACCAAGTCAGTCATAGTTAACTCACCGTAGAGTTGGTATTAGGCCACTGCTTCCTATAAGTACCTTTCAAACTCTGCTGAACTTATGTATACTTTAGTTAGCTTTGGCAGAGCCTTATAAAAGCAAGTCTGTTCCTACCTAACCATCCCCCATTGCCCTGTGTCTTCTCCCCCCACCCATAAGGGCGTAAGGTGACAGAACTGCTGAAGCGTTGTATAGTTTGAGCTCTTTTGCTTTCTTACATTTACTATGTATGGGTGTCGATTTCTCTGTGCAGGAAGAAGGGGATCTGGAGCTAGTGTGGAGCTATATTTTCAGCTTCCTGAAGCATGAACCGCCAGCTTAGGGTCTCACGCAAACTCTGTGTGGGGTGCTAACACTGCAATTTGTGGGTGGGGATGTTCTGTACGGAAAGGCAGAAGTGTGGGGTTGGGATCCGTTGTCAAAGCCCTCCACTGATGTAGGTCACTTGCTCAGCTGCATCTGCTGGCAATCTGATTTGGTGATTCTCTGCAGCAGCAGTGCATGCATTTGGGTTTTTGAGATGAGAATTGAGGGGAGAAACAAAAAGAAACTGAGAGAGAGGTTGTTTTCTGCTGTGTGCCAGAACCTAGGTTGCCTCCCAGGCTTTTATATTTTATAGTGAGATGTTTGATACCTTACTGTCTAATAAATCTGTATATGGAGGATCCGGGCCTGTGCTCTTCCAGGCGTGGCTGCGGGATGAAAAGGATCATTCAGTGGACAGTCATGGGGGAAGGGTTGGCTTGGTGGTTTCGAACAGAGAGGATCTTACTGTGTCAGTGGTGTCTACTCAAGGTAAACCTTTAGGAACTAAATATGTTCAAAGAATAGTTCACCCAAAAATTAATGTTTAAATAATTTATTTAAACGGAATGACTTTTGTTTCTTTTGCAGAAAACAGCAACAAAAAAGTCTAAAGAATGTTCCAACAGTTTTTGTCGATAAAAGTCGATGAAAGTCAGTGACGCCCAAAATAATATGGGACCCCACTGACTTTCATTGTATTGACAAATAAAGCACCGAGACATTTCTGAATGAAGAAAGAAATTCATACAGGTTTGCATCAACATTTTGGGATGAACTATCCGTTTAAGTTTTGCATCACTCAAGGAAGTAAACAAAGCCTCAAATAGCTTTGACTAATGCTTATGTGGTTGACAAAAGAAATTAACCAGTTGGAGAGAGGACAGTTTGTCCTTAAAGCGTGGGATTTGAAAAGAGAAATCTTGTTCAAGATCAGCTTTCATTAGCGTTTTTTGTTATTACCCATTTAATGTATACTTTTTTTTACAGTATAAAAATAAAATTTCGCACAGTGTTCTGACATTTAGCAGACTTTGTGTCTGTACATGAATGTCAGAGCTGTGGGTGACCCCACCCACCTGCTCTTGCCTGTTACCATTCACGTGCTTCAGCTGGCTACAGCTGTCTTAATGTAAAATGGAAGGTCCACAGGAAGGTCCATTTCAAAGCTGTAATGATGAGTAGAGCAAAGCTGTGAGATGCACTCCTCGTGAGGTGGGAAAATAGGGGGGAGGGGACATAAATCTGCAGCAGTTGTGGCTGCTTCCTCATATAATGTGTCTTAGACCGTGTGTGCACATGTGCTGTAGAGACTGGGAGGAGTGAGTTATGTCTACTAGGCTTGGAAGGCTTGATTGAAATGCCTGATGGTGAAGGCTCTTCCATCAGACACAAGGCCAGTACTATTGTTCACATTTCTGCAGCAACAACAGCATTAAAACCCTGGGAGGAGAATGTGCAATTGAAAGGCAAGTGGTTTTTAGTGTTTTTCATTAAAGACAATAGAGGATGATAAATTAAACATAGTTGCCTTCATCACAATGTCTCTGGACAAGTCTGGCCCAGTCCTAATCGTTGCACCTGACCTAGCCATAATGTCTTTGTTACACCCACATCCATTAGCATTAATCCTCAGTTTCTCAAAGTCACTGGCACGAACAGAGTACTGAAAGCCTGATCTGACTCACCCAGTCTCAGTGTGGTTAGTCAACCCCGCATCCCCTCCCTCCATTTGCGCACACCTGTGTGTGGTGTACCTTCTGTCTTTTTTGTTCCATTCCCACAGTTGTCTCTAAATGCTGTAATCTGGGTCAAACCACCAGGAAAGTTTTTGCTCAGTCAACAGTCTGCTCACTAGACCTTCACGAGATTAATATGAAGTGTCTAATGCAGATATGATGATAACGCTGCCTATTTGTTAAATTGCCCACAACTATAACGTAAGTCCAAGCTATGTTTGTGCCAAACTTTGTGGTTTCTGGTCTCCATGGTGCGTTGCGGTCTCTGTGAACTCACTTCTTGGCAACCTCAGTTAGATGGAGGGTGTGACCCATATCTTTCTCCCAACTTGGATGCTGATGGGATTGCATACACTCCCAAAATTCCCTGATCCTATGGGGCAGTGATGAGATCATATCGGCAAGCATCTCAGCCCTGGTGGAATGGGGAAAGCTGGGTTGTTGGCAGAAGTTTGCTTTGCTGAGAGAAGCTGAGAACTTTCTTGAAGACGGGTTTGGAAACTTTGAGATTAAGAAGAGGCCTGTCTGGGTCTCCAATGGCCCAAAGCAGTTTTGTCATTAACAATGTGGGCTTGAGCTGGCAGACTTCTGTATGACCCACCAGGAATAAATTACAACTTGCTAGTAAGTGCTGCAGCTACATTTGTGGTGCCATTTTAGAGATCAGGCTTCTTGTGGTTTTCCACAGATAATGAATCGGAGTAAGTGGTAGACCGGAGGCTAGGACACAGTGTGCCCCTGATTCAGAACGTCTGATCTAATTGGGATCACCATCGGCAACATCAGGATCTAATGCATAATATATTAAAAGCATCATGTCTTGGTCTAGTTTACATCTCTATTTGTTGTATCACTTTTGCTTTGCCTCTGGCTAAAGATAACTGAAGGCACATGTGCACCATCTGTCAGATTCTTGGCCAAAAACCTTGCAAAAACAAGGACAAATTCAAACCTTCTTGATCTTTATGGTTGGAACTAGGCCTTTTATACTTATCTAAGATCAGTTTCCACTGTCCTGGTCCTGACCTTAATTTTTGCCAGTCAAAATGAACAAATAGCACAGGGTTTCTACTATAAACCCTTGTCCTCCATTCTTGTCCTGCAAGGGATGTGTTCGTATGGTGTCTAGAGGATGAATGCAAAGTCTTCTTCTAATTACCTTACTAAAACATTTTCTCAGTCAGAACTGCTTTCTGAATGACAGCAGCTGACATTGGACTTGCAGACTATGCTAATTTCAGAGCATGTTCTAGGGCATGAAGTGTATATAGCCCTTGAGCAAGCTTTGAGAGTTCACTTTGAGCTCATGGTTATGAAGGATTTGTAAAACTTCCTACTGGAGGTCCTTACTGCCTGTCTTAATGTCTTCCTGCCTTTCTCATGTTGTGTCTGGCTGTTTCCATTCCTACCTACGTCTCAGCCTGCGTAAGTGGCCTTACGGTTGAAGAAACCCGAGGAATTTTATCTCACCCACACAGAGATGCTGGTAACTCTTGTTGGAACAGGTGAGCGACACCAAGTCTCCTGGATCGACATTCAGTCTGCACTTGTGTTGCTCAGATAGTGGCCTGATCAGATGTCCGTGGCTTAGACTGTTCACCTCAAAAGGCCCTTTTCTCCTATTTCCTACAGATTCAAGGGAGTCTGAAGTTGTTCTTTCTTTGGGCCCTCTATGAAATTGAGCCATGGATTTGCGATATGTTGTTATACTTGAGAGAAGACATGAGCATGAGTTTATTTACTGACCCAGTGGCCCCAAAAGGGAACAGTTATGTAAAGCTGCTGTCTGTGACATAATGGCATAGCCTCTGAAGGGAAACACTGTTGCTCAGCTACCTTCGCTATGGGATGTCTGTACTAGCAACTGTGAGGTAACTGCTGCAAAGGGTAACTGGGTCACTGTGTTCGTTAACACAGAGGTCGAATCTAAAGCTCTCCTAATTACTGGTCCCTGTTGCGAAAAAGAATTGGGCACATGCAGGGCTGGTTGCTCCACACCAAAGAGGGTGTAGCTCATCAGTGTGAAGACATGCCAGTGCCCATGCAACACAAACCACTTCAAAAAAGTCTCTTTTTGTACAAGTGCCAGGATGCAATGCTGTGAATAAATATATTGACCACAGGCAAGGGGATGAGTAAAGTTTACATAAATTTTGTTGTGGGTATTTGCATGAACAGTATGACAGTATGGGTTAAGGCCTCACTATTGTTTTCCCAAAGGGACAAAAAGAGGAAGTGTCTTCAGTGTCCCTTTTGCATGGTTTTTGACATGGTGGATAGAGCCACAGCCACTTCCATCTGTTATGAAACTGTTGCAGGCTGGACAGTGTGACCTTTTTACATAAGTCTACTTCAGAGCCACATAAAGAGCACCCTCATTGGTGATAATAATATTCCTGGAAACATGTCCCACTTGAACTCTTAGCCATGTTCACACAATGCAAGCAGAAAATTTTAAGCATGGTAGTTCTGAATGGTCTTGTCTGTAGGTGATGCTTTTGTGTTGAGCATATACTTTGTATGCTAGCTGCCCAGCGCACTAGCCTCTGGTCTATTACAGTGAACTGCAAACGGTGTTATTGTTGACTAAAACCTAAAACTATAAAAAATTGTTTCCTGTAATTAAAACAAAGCTAAAATAAAATAAGATATAAATATTAGATGGGACGACTTAAACTTAAAAAAACTTAAAATTGTTGCCTTGACAACTAGCTGAAATAAGTTTAATTTGAAGTACTACAATGATTAAACTAAAAATGAAATAAAAACGATTTAAAGCTATATATAAAGAAAAAACAAAAACTCTTAAAAATTATAAAAATGCACATAAAAACTGCACTAAAACTACTATTACTAAAACTAAAACTTAAAATGAAACCCAAAAATATTAAAATAAAAGCTATTGAAATTATTAATAAATTTTAAAATGTATAGTATATAAATAATAATAAAATAGCACTGACCGCAAAGAGCAAAATTGTTGGTGATTTTTTTTGTGGCCTTTTTTGTTTGTTTTGTGTGTTGATTTTCAAAACCTGCCTTATTCAACTGCTTTGCTCTCAGGAGAATTAGACTAACACCTGTGCATTGCATTGATGTCACTATTCACACCTTTGCAAGGCCCAGTCCTGTTCGTCTCCTTTTTTTAACCTGTGAAGTATTCATACTGTTGCAACTCTTACCTTTGTTGAGAAGCTGCTCACCACTCATAACTCACACTTTACAATCTTGAGTTCCCACAGACTCTTTCGTGTATTAATTAGACTGTAAATTACAGGTTGGCTCCTGTCATTGCTGAAGGGAGAATCTCAGACCATCCACCGCTCTGTCCCCATTCCTACTACGCTAATGTTAGATCTTGTGTATTTATGTTTATACGCCACAATCATGACTAGATCCAGGATATTTAAAAAAGGTCAAACAACAGTGACCCTCTCAGATTAGTTCTCGTGGGTGTGGCATGTTTGAAGGTTAGTGGATTTAAATTGTGGCTTTGTATACTTACGGACGGTATGTTTGGATGGGCTTGAATATGTGTGTGGTAAATGAGTATCAGATTATGTGTTTTTGTACCAATGAGTTATTTGCTTTAGTTAGAGTGGGAGTGAGTGTTTTTGTGTGCGTAACTGTATTTTTTGTGTTTTGTCACGTGGGTGTGTGTGGGAGGATATAATATATGACAGATACAAGTAAACCTTAACCTACACAGATATTGTTATGGACACAAAGCTCATACACACACAGAATATATTTTCATGTGTGTCTGAAGGTTTTATTTGTTGACAACATAGCAAGGGTCTACATGTGAGGTGAATATGTCATCACATAGTACATTGTTGTGTGTTTGTGTGCATGGTGGGAGCAGGTCTGTCTGAAAGTGAGTGACAGGTCATAGATTTAGATGGAGGCAGTCTAGACTCGCTCTGCCTGCTGTTTCTCTCGCTTTCTCAATCTTTTATAGTAGGGGGAAGGGACCCCAGCAAAGCTGTCGTCCCACACATAAATTTGGCATCACATATATGTTTCGTTTGAAGTTGTTTTCCATTGGGGCCTTTAGGGGAAACCACAAAACAAAGGCAGCAGCAAAAAGCTGTCTGGATGTCTGTGTACTTTGCCTGTTCTGTCTAATTTAACCAAGTAATGACTGACATGTCTGACTTTTTTCTTTCCCGTTCTTTGCATTTCAAAATTATGAAAAGTGCAGACATAGAACCCATATTCTATTCAACGGTGGTTTCAAGACCTTTGTGGTGGCGCTGCTCAGGGAGGGAAAACTGCTGTTGAAAAGCTGGTAAAATAAGTAAAGCAGGTCTCACATTTGTGGGGGAAGACAACCAATGAAATGGAGCTAAAATACATGTTGTATCTGACATGTGGGCCTTTGTGTGCACAAAGAAAGGTGTTGGTACCGCATTTACTCGACTGTGAGGAAACCACACCGAGATATATGAACCCATCTGGCTTTGGGTAGATTTGTGTCAAAGCCCTCTTTTATTGCCTGAAGGGGTAGGGTATAATTTCCCATGCTTTTGGCTCACTGCTAGTTTCACTATTGAGTACAAGCTGGGGCAGGGTACCATAGTAAAGACCGTTAACCTGCCTAATTAAACTTGCTGTCTGGCTCTGCAACATGTGGTAATGGGGGGGAGAAAAAATACTTTGCAAGGTCATTTCGAGATGTGTGCCAGTTCCAAATAAACCAATGAGTATGTGTTTGTGTGTCCATCAGATATCTCAATAATGAGTCAGTAAATCCCATAAGCCTCTTTGGAGCAGTCAAAATGATACATGTCCCCCTAGTATTCTCATGATTCTCCAATTAGCATGATGCAATGCTTATTGGGCTGGAACATATGGTTTATTTTTAATGCTGTGCATTCCTGGTTTAATGTGTGGGCTTTTCACTCAGCTTAGCAACTGTAATAAAAAATAAATAAATAAATTTTTTTTGCAGACTTTTGCTTCTATAGGAGAGGATTAGCACGCTCTCAAGAGCCGCTTCTAAATAGTTGTGCCACATTAGTTGCGCCTTTCACGTCTGGTTAAAGACTGCTCATTTTGGGATTTAAAAGCCATCCATGGAGGGTAAACCCTTGCGTGACCTGGATCTGAATGGTCTGGGTCATTCACTGCTTACCAAGAGAAACCGCAAAACTGCTTCTAGATCAGTTTAAAAGAGTATATTATACCAATGAGGCATGTCAGCACAGGCTTAATGGGGGCCGTGTAGAATAAAAAAGGCCGCAGTAGGACATTCTGTGCTGAAAGAGTTCATTGTCCACATAAGTGCTGGACTTGGTTCACATCAGTTGGCACCGCCACTCCAGTTTATCGCTGTTAGCGACGCATGGTGGTGTTTATGATGTGGCCTCTTTAACACCTTGTTTTTTGGAGCAAGTTTACTTTTTCAAAAATGGATTAAATTTTTCAATTCAAAATTTCAACAATCAAATACTCTGAAGCACAGCTGCAACTCCTTATTCACAGATGGCACATTGGCCTATAACAGGGGTTCACAGCTCTGGCCCTCAAGGTCCACTTTCTTGCAAAGTTTAGCTCCAGCCTTTATCAAACTCGCCTGCCAGTAACTTTCTAGTAATCCTGAAGGCCTTGATTAGCTTGTTCATGTGTGTTTCATTAGGGTTGGAGCTAAACTCTGCTGGAAAGTGGACCTCAAGGGCCAGTGTTGAGAACCCCTGGCCTATAATCTGTAAAGAGTGTAAAATACTGTATAGCTTTACAGTCTGTTTTGAAAACATCACGTATGTCTGAGCGATCATGAATGTGTATTGTAAACAATAACAGCTGTGTGTTCTGCTTTTTCTATGTGTTTGTCACAGGAGAGCGCCCCTTTCCCTGCACCTGGCCTGACTGCATTAAGAAGTTTGCTCGCTCTGATGAGCTGGCACGGCACTATCGCACCCACACGGGCGAGAAGAAGTTCGGCTGCCCCCTGTGCGACAAACGTTTCATGCGGAGCGACCACCTGATGAAACACGCACGCCGTCATTCCGACTTCCAGCCGGCCATGCTGAAGAGGCAGCACGGCGGTGGCAATGCCACTGTCTCAAGCAGCACGCGTCCCGGCTCCCTCAGCGATTACAGTCGATCCGACGCCTCAAGCCCCACCCTCAGCCCAGCCAACTCGCCTTAACCTGGCCGCACTTTCTTCTCATTTTTTTATTCCTCTCTATCCATAATTTTTTCCCTAAAAAATTACCGGCGTAATAAGCGCCCATGCTAAACCCGTCGCTTGCTGTGGTGTACTGTACTGTACATAACTGCTTCTTGTAGTGCAATTTTCTTGTGCAACCCCTAAAAGAGAAAAAAACACAAAAAAGAAAATGCCTTTTCCACATGGCAATATTTACATGATGTACCATATGTCTGTATTTTTATAGCTTCTGGCCACAGCCTCTTTCCATTATGGGTTTTTTGTTGCCGTTTCTTTCATATACAACCGCTCTGTTCAAGTGAACTAAAAAGTTGAAAGGTTTGACAGGTAAAGATGTTTTTTTTTATTTAAAACGGATGAGGGAGAGGGGCACATACACCTCAGGATTCAGAACAGTTTTTTTCTCCTTTAATACTCACATTGACTGCACAATACAAGCATCACTTTACTCCGAAATTCAACAGAGGTTGAATTTTGCGCCCTGCTCAGGGATGGCCTCGTTAGCTTGAAAGAATGAACATGATGAAGATAAACATACGTTAAGAAACAGCCTTACACTTGGACAAAAGGAAACTTTGCACTCTTTTTTTTTTTGAGTTGGTTTGTTTGTTTTCACATCAGGGGAAGCAAATTCTGGGTTTTAACAGTTATTCATACTTTTTATTAATATTATTATTATTTTTTCAATCAGTCTTTTAACGAGAGTGGCAGAACTGCTCACCAGATACAAAGGGTTGGGGGGGGTAATTCTGTCTTGAGACTGGAAATGACTTTATTTTCAACATCGCTATCTCCCGCTAACCTTGTAGGCACACAGAGCTCTGTTGGCCTGGGTCCATGTTTCAAAGGGAATCCTCTCAATATAGCTTGAATGTCATTATCAGTCCACTTTTACATGCTTGAGCCACCCAATGAGGAGAACAGACAGCACCACTTCTCTCAGTGGACTAAACTAAACTCCCCTTGAAAATTTGGAGGCTAAACTTTCAAAGCAGCTGTTTCCTCAATAAAAACAGCACATTCATCAACTTCAGGGTTTTTCACTACAGTACGACACATTCAAAGGGACTTGTCTGGACGTACGCCTACTTCAGACTCAAATAAAGACAAAAAGCACATGAGCAGAATCCACCAAAGGCCAAGGTGTGAACGTTTGTATTCTACCCAGAGGAAGAAGGGAGGGGAGGGATGTTGGCATTCTCTCAGGTAACAGCAGAAGTCCTGGCCCTCTGCCCTCTGCAGAGCTCCATCTGCAGAGGCCTTCCTCTTAGAAAACTGCATCATCCTACACAGGGCTATTCATAGCACACTAGCCAGGGAGACAAGAGCCATTATAGTGGAGCTTTACGCACTCTGCCTCGCTCACTCTATCTGAAAAGGAGTGGGCGTATGAGAGAAATAGATGGAGGGCCAAAGCAAATGTTTGAAAGAAATAGATATCAAATCCACACACCGTGTCATGACCAGGTGCCATGTAACAAATATTGAAGTGACAATATTGCAGCCATATTTGAAGCTTAATATATGGCTGTGTGAAGCTGCAATTTGGACCAGTGAGATTGCACTGTGGGCAGAGTTGCACAGCAAAACAAACACAATTCAAAACCATGTGGTTGACAAAATGTCTTGTCAGTTATCACTTGCCATTGCACCTGGTTAAGACTAGTGGTTGACCGATGTGCATCTCTCAGTGACTGATGTAATACCGATATTTACAAAATAAAATTTAATGACAGAAAATGTTAAAAATGTTTACAATTTTTTTCTTAATTTTAACATTATAGTTGAATAATTAATCGGCTATATCAGTTGTTGGCCGATACTTGTAATCTCAAAATGGATAAATATTGGCTTAAATAATCGGAGTGGACCACATTTTCCAAAGGCATTGTAAGCGTAATTATATCTTAGAGATCATTGGTGCTTGTGATGCTTTTTGGATACATAGCCCTAAACAAAATATCTCTCAGTAAGATACTGTTATCGGCCAATACCGATAATCACAAAATTACCAATTAATCGGCCTGGCTGATATGTTGGTCTGTCAGACAGTGTTATCGGCTGATATGTTTTTTTGTTTTTTTTCCAATGGCCAGATATCAGCAGATTAACCGGCATTGCCGATATATCGGTCGATCACTAGTTAGGGCACAGATTTTCAACTCATTGAGAACTAGATTGTCAGAGTTTGTATCATCACGGCTGTTTCACTATGTGATGAGAGCAACAGGCCTCCATGAGAACAAAGAGCACTATCTACAGGAGGCAGGAAAGAGGGGGTTGACCCATAGCGAGACAGATAAAGACTGAGGCTTTATCAGGAGCTGAGCACTCCAGCAGAAGAAACACCCAGTCAGCTTCCTCTCTCTCACACGGAAACCTCCCTCCCCTCTGCACTACTCCCCACTCACCCGCCAACAGCATCCCACAATGCATTGCAGGAGCTTAAAGAGGGAAAATGGCCTCGTCTGATTGGATAGCATCCAAGCAGCTGGCCGGGGGGATTGTAATAGAGGAAGTTGAAGCCCAAATCATAACGGCTCACAGACAATAAGCATGATATGCTATCAAATCATAGTTGAACATGTTGGGAATTTTCAAATGAGATGTTATCAGTATTTTTTTTCCCCTCAGTTTGGCACTGTCGACGACTTCTCAGACAAGATCAGTCGCTCTTTAAATGACTGTACTTTTTCACAAGCACAGGTAAACACTCGCGCATCCTTTTTTTGTTTTACTGTTGCGGACCACTGATTTGTCAGTGTGACCACTCATTACCTCACTGAACAGCTGCTTTCAAACTTGACTCTCCTTAAAAAGGGGGCTTTAGGCATTACTACTCGATTTGTACATAATCATACATATCAAGTGAACAATGAATTTGCCGTCCTTTGTCGCTTCAGCCTGCGAGGATGAAGGGTTACCATGAGAAACTGTCGACCGGGCCTTACTCGCTCAGGCGAAAGGCATACAAGACCCTCCAGGAACTGAGGCACCGCTATCAAAACTACTGTGGCACTGCTTCATCCGCTGTCTCACTTTCCCATACGCGCGATGTTCCTAAAGTGACACTTTAATATTAATTTAGCAAGCTTTCTGTGACAGTTTTTCACTTTATATTCATAAGCTCATTATTCAACACCAGCCATCTTGTCTCGTCTCATATTATCTTGCACATATTCCTTGCCCACCCTCCATGCCCAGTGCGGGGAAACCAGCATCAGAGTTGCCCAGCTGGACGAGCGCTCCGGGGCTTGAGGAGCAGGTGGGGAGGCCTGTGAATGCCAGGCCTTGTCCCCCCTTTATCCTCCCTAACAGCCCCCATCCCCCTCCCAGGGGCCTCTCCCATAGCCCTCAAAAAACCCTCCACATAATCCCGGCTTTCAGCTAAAGAAAACAGCCCTAATCAAAATAAACAGTGCCATGGCGGCATTATTTCTTATTATTGCAATAAACCCACACGTAAAGCCGCCTAGCTGTGGTCGGCACCCTCCTCTGACCCTTCTAAGTCATTTCAGATTTCTACTCCAGAATTTCGCACGTCAGCTTTACTTCCAATGCAAGCTGGCCATGAATGTTCACTGTGTGCAAGAAACTCATTTGTAGACGTTTTATATAAGTTTCTGTTCAACCGCCTTTGAATGTATCTGCAAATACTCCCAACTGCTGGTCAGGAGAGGGTATTTCAGGGCAGAATAAGGTCGGTCTGAACCAACGTCCACTGCATTAGTACTTCTCAAACTTGGTAAAACATGTTCAATGAACCTTGAAAACCCGAAACCTGCAGGCAACACAAGTCTCTTGCATTTGTGTACTGGTTAGATAGAGTATACACAACTAAATATATATATTTTTCCTTGTAATATTTACTGAAAATGTATTTTCTCAATGCAAATTCACTCAGCCCGGGTTAGTGTGAATTACATGTAAAAATGAATACATGCGCGCTTATGTTTCTGTATTTTTCACTGTACCGATACTACTTGAATGCAAAGCAAGACCATTGAACACAGGTGGAAAAATGTCTAGGTCATGACTAGTCAAACTGTACCTGCTACGTTTCTCGGCTTAAACCCATGGATGTACTCATTTTTCTTGATTTGTTCAATATTTCCGCATTGTGTTGTAGTTTTTTTCTAATTATTTTCTTTGTGCTCAGATCTTAGCTGTTATTATTATAATTGGTATTTTTTGCGAAGTTTGTTAGTGTTTCATAAGGCTTTCTTTTCTGTCTGCTGCAATGATGCTAGTGAAATTGGACACTGAAAGACACTGAAAGAAAGCTTTTAATTAACAGCGGAATGTAGGTGTATAACAACCAAATTTGAAAACATGGAGGTAAAAGGTGGTTTTAAGTGAGGAAAAAAGGAAATATCCTGACTTCTCAAAAGCATTGCGTGAGGCTGAATGCATACATGCGATCAAGTTTGATATAATGCATTACCATAGAGACCACAGCATTGTGAGTAGATAGTCACATTCATGTTTTATTGTTTTGTTATTTAACATAATTAGAATTACATCTATGAGTTACATTTTTCTGTCATGTATCTTTTCAAACTCATACCTCTATAAAAATCAAAAAGGTTATGATTTTTTTTTTTTTTTTTTTGATTGGATGGGGGATTTGTTGGATTTCATATCTGGAAGAATTGTAAATTTAAATAAAATATTTTTTATGAATTATCATGGTCTTACAAGCCACAGAGCATCATATTGAAAGTGAATCATTGAAAATTCATTCTACCAGTGGATTGCATAAACCCACACACCCGACTCAACGAGAAACGATTTGTTTTGTACAAAGCTATTTGTACACAAAATCCTACTAATGATTATAATAGCATTTTATTGGATCTTTCAATCATACATTCAACAAACTGCATGTTAGTTTAATAATGAGTGCTAAAGGCATTGGAAAGATGATTTTATTTAATCATATACAGTGATAGTCAAGATAAATATGACCTTGTACAGTTTCCTATGAGTGATGTTCGTTTTTATGTGTATGTAGCGGGGTGAATGATGTATTAGATGCGCGAGTATTTCTAATTTCCCCCCTCTGGCGTGATCTTGATGTACTTTTTGTTTCTTTTAGTTATGTTTTTCTTAATTTGTCATTGTTGTACAGAACAAATGCACATATTAGTAAAAGTGAAAACTCCGATATTAACCTGTTCACCATCCTACGTAAAAGCTCTACCATTCCAAAGGATTGCAATTACATTTGCTATAATTATGCTGCTTATATCCAACCAATGCATCAAAGCTTCTTTTCTTTATGTATTTATTTTGTTCTTATTACTCTTTTTGACTGTGTATCACATGACTTTTGTTACTAGTTCAATTTGGTACTTAACTTTCCCTCTTTGTTGTTCTTCCGACATTTATTTGTCACCTGTAAACTCCTGCATTCTCCTGTAAACTCTACTTCTGTCAGGACCACTATCGTCAAAGATGATTGACAATTAGCATACAGTTTGGATTGGTGGTATGGTTCTGTTCTGGACAAGAACTCCCTGCGCATCCATGCAGCCTAGCATGGATGAGAGCAGGGAGAGCAATATATATATAATTTGAAATATTCTTATTTGTTATTTAAATATTATTTATAGATATTGTTTTTTAGCTTCAAATTAATTAACTTATAGGAATAGTTTTAAATAAATATAAATTATTATAAATATTTTAATTATTATTCATTATTTTATATATTATTATAATGTGTTTGATATTTTATATATTATTTAAAAATATAAATTTTTAAATTTGTTTTAATTTATCAGCCGTTTTATAAATATAAATTACAATTATAATTTAATTACAAAATATGTAATATTAATTAATAGCTAATATTAATTGCTAAAAAATGAAACGTAGATGAAATATTTAAATATTTTATCATTTCTTTTAATTTAAATAAATCAATATTTCATGTTTATGTGCTTGTATTTATTCAATCTATTTTAGTAGCCATGTAATAAACAGGATAATGTACAGTCAGCCAGTTATTATCACAAAATTAGCCACGACAGGATGACCAACCGAATCAAATATCAAATATAAAACTTGTTTTTTAAGTAAAAGTTGTCAAAGATTTATTCTAATCAGGCTACACAAATCCATCAAACCATAAAGACCTGCTCATTTGTATGCTCAGTAACTTCATTACCGTCTCTAAGACTGTACTCCTTAAAGATATCCATGACATACACAGTATTTGGCAGCCCTGAGCGCACTGCAGTCCCTGGCTCTGAATATCAAAAGCTTTGGCACGCAGAGCACAATTCTAGGCAGACTTTGCATCACAAATTGACCCAAACCTTTAGCGTGCATGCAGCCAATGGCCGCACTTGTTGCTCAGCAGGATGCAATAAAAAGCGAGAACAGAAAGATGCCTGTTGTGTGGAATAATGTGCTCAGATACGGCCATCTGCAGGAAGTGCACCTTGTTCTTGCCGTTGGTGCATTCATGCAAATATTTACTGTAAGTGATGCAGGGACATGTCAGCAGAGACCACAAAACAGGTGGCATTTGTGTTTTCTGTCTAGTCATTTGCAACACTGAACAAGGCCTGTGTTGAACAGAGGGTCAAGATGGTGAGATATCAAAAGAGCAATGTGTCTGGCACATGTGTGTCATGTCATACACCATGTGTGTAAAGTGATATATTTCATAAAGAAAAGACTGTTTTGAAAATCTGGACCATTGCAATATCAAATAAGGACCGATTCAAAACTAAAGAATGAGTGGCCCACATTTTGTCCCACTCAGTTGTGCAATAAAGCAACACTTTTAAAATTCATGACCACCCACTAACTGGTTTTTGACCTTGAGTTTTTGACTTGTGACGTCGGAGCCCGCACTATTATCTCCGCCTATACTGGAAACTTTTTCAGGCTTCTGATTGGCCAACATGGCTTTACGGTTGAGATTATATCGCCACCTGTTGGTTTGGCATGCTCTTGACAGTGCTTCATAGCATGCGTTTGCGTTTTCATGTGGACGGAGATTTTTTTAAAAACAGAAGAAGGAAAAACTAAACTCTACTAAAAATACCCGTGTACGTGTGGACATGGCCTGAGTTTGGAGACCCCTGACTTTAAGCGACTGTAGGGCCCCTACAGTCTTAATTTGCGTTCCAAAGATGAACGAAGGTCTTATGGGTTTGGAACACAGGAGGGTGAGTAATTAATGAAAGAATTTTCATTTTTGGGTGAACTATCCCTTTAAGTCTTTGAATTAGACTTTTTTTTTTCCATTATGATATGAGTACAGTTATATCACCCTGACATTTCTGACGTTTTTCACCACTTGTACCTTGAATGTTATGGGTCCAGAAGTCAGTCAGACAGACAGACAGACAGAGATGGACAGAGAGACAGGAAGACGAATCATTCATTTCTCTCCCCCTCAGTGAGTGATCATGCTGCAGTGGGAGCCAGTGAGTAAGAAGCAGCGAACAAACTGTTCCTCTGTTGAATATGTATGTGTGTGTGTGTGTGTGTGTGCAATGACTGCTGGTGGGTGGAGGGGTAAGGGGAAAGATTAGAAAGAGAGAGAGAGGATATCTTACTATTTTCTTTTTCTCTCTCTCTTTCTTTATCTGCTTTTGGTTTTCTCCAGCTGGGATTCTAAATAACAGCCTGCGGTCAATTGATGTGAGGCCGGCAATCATCTGACAAGCATTTCATTCAGTTTTGTGGCATGGTGGCTTTAGAGCATCAGTGCTACTTTTTAAATTGAAACAGGGTGTATAAACTGCAAATACAAAAGGAAAGAAGGTGTGTGTGTGGGAGAGAGAGAGAGAGAGAGAGAGAGAGAGGGGGGCAGCGAGATAAAGAGTGGGTGAAGCCGTGTGGTTGTACTGGGTGATCAGGACTTGAGCTTCACGAGCTCAGACTGTGAGTGGGCGTCTCTGTGGGTGCTGTCGTGGTGTGAATGTCCTCTGTCCCTCACGTACTCCAGCATGGCAAGGCGGCGGGTGGCACTGGTGCGAACTCAACGCCCGTCCAGGAAATATTACTGCCACTGTGGGTCTGATCCTAATCCCATTCTTACCCACTTTTACCCACTTTCTGTCTGGTTAAAAAAAAATGCTATGATATGATGCTATAGTCTGTTCTACAGGCAACAACAAAAAATAGCTGAAACTTTTCTGACACTGAAATATAACACTGAAATTGAGCAGATTTTACAGAATACAATATATCTGGTAATTTGGAAACTTTAAGACATAAAGTCAAACACATGACAATGTCAATAGTTTTGCAATGTGCATTACTATGTTACTGATAAATGAAATAAAGCTAAAATGTAATTAAATTCAAATATAAATATTCGATTTAACTTTAAAAACTTAAGAAATTAGAAGTGTTTCTTTTGCAATTAACTTAAATAATTTGAAGTACTAAAATTAAATGCATTACTAAGTTGAAGTAATTAAAACTAAAACTTAAATAAAAATAAATGAAAGCTAAATAGAAATATAAAAAAACTCACAAAAGCGCATACAATTATTAAATTATATAAAAAAAATGAAAATATAAAAATAAAAGCTAATTTATAATATTAACAAATAGTACAACAGTAAATAATTAATATTAAAATAACACTGGTGCATTAGACTTTAATTTATTATTATTAGTTTTAGTATGCTAAAGAAAAATCTATCTCTCATTTTTAATTTTGGTGTTGTTTTCAGTAAGAAAGTAAATAAATAAATACATAAATAAACAACTGGAGAAAGAAAATTGAAGATAAGATATAATAGAATATATCCTGAATTATTTTTCTTATACCAACCAAATTGACCAAAAGGAACGATTATCTTTCTGTCAACAGAAACCTTTTTGTCTCTTTGTAGGGTGGAGCTTAAGCCTTCCTGGATGAGTTACAGTGAGCAGGGAACATCTTTCTCTGGGGACACATAGATCACAGAC